ATTAATTTGTGTGTTATCAATATTTTTTAAGTTGTTGAATAATTTACTTTTGCAAATGTAAAGTTCACAATAGTCATTGCAATACATGATATATGAAAACATCTTGAACCAAGTTGATTTTAAAATGAAAATGTAGTGAATGCCCAGCATAAGTTCAAAAGTTGAGCGTTTAACCTTTAACAGACGATCATGTGGCTCAAACTTTTGTTTCCTGCTGAGCTCTTTCTTTCTGTGTCTGTTTATTCAGTTGAAAAAGAGGTTTGCCAATGAGATTAGTAAACAAGGATGTGGGGTGACTGACACATGCTTCCAATGATTAGGAGCACACAGTCCGTCATTACTTTGTCATTCTGTCCTCACACACAGCAGAGGCAACATGAGGCTGCGGGTCGTCCTGCTGCTCGCTCTGCTCGCTCACTCCTTTGCTGCTGAAGGTAAGTACAACATTTAAAATCTTATTTATAGTTAACAAAGTACATGTAGTCACAAACACTTTTGTTAATAAAGAGTTATAGTCCCATGAGCTTTATTATCCAAAGAATGACGTTCATTACTTCAGAAGAAGAATACAGAGGACGCAGTATAAAAAACACATAAAGTAAGATACAGTTTTCTTTTACTTTCATCTTGTGTTAAGAATCATGTATGGATCGCTGTGAGAATGGCTTCGACTCTCAGAGGAGCTGTCAGTGTGACTCCATGTGCAAGTACTACAAGAGCTGCTGCTATGACTTCGAGGTGACCTGTGGGATGATGAGTAAGAAACCTCTCTGCTTTGTTTGTTCAAACAATACAGTTTTAAAACTACATACAGTCATCAGTCATTTTCATCCTCCCTTCAGCTCGTGGAGACACGTTTTCGTTTCCAGAGGATGCTGATGAAGATGAGGAGTTTGTGGGCACCACCCCTTCCCCCAGACATTCAGCACAGTCTTTTATCACAGCTGGTCATCCGCTGAAAACCATACGTCCGCCCGTCTCTGACTTCAGACCACAGCAGCTTCCAGAATCCACACTAGACATGAACAAACCACCACGACTGATGGACCCCATATTTCAGAGAGTCCCCATCAGACAGCAGACACCCGCCTCAAACACTGTCCTCCCTACACAGAAGGTCCCCTTCACAACTGAACCCCCTGAGATTAATACAGCAACTCAAACGACCACTGTACCCGTCACTACCCGCACCACTGAAGCCCCTGACCCAGACGCTGAGGTCTGCAGTGGAAGGCCTTTTGACTCTTTCATGCAGCTTAAAAATGGCTCCATCTTTGCCTTCAGAGGTGAGTTACTGGTACTACAACCCTATAATACTCAAATGTCGTGATCTGATATTGAAAGAGCAAACCTGCGGTTTAAAGTAGGATTCTTACCAATGTGTGTTTACTAGGGGACTACTTTTTTGAACTGGACCAGAAGTCGGTTGTGCCTGGTTATCCAAAGCTCATCAAGGATGTGTGGGGCATCAACGGGCCAATCGATGCTGTTTTCACCCGCGTCAACTGTCAAGGGAAGACCTACATCTTCAGGGTGGGGACAGAGAAAATGATCTTTTATCAATTTCACTTGATATCAGTATGTCAGACAACCAAATATTACTGTTTTAATGCTTGAAAACTTTAAACAGGGTAACAAGTACTGGAGGTTTGATAGTGGCGTACTGGACGAAGACTATCCTCGAGATATCAGCGTGGGATTTGACAAAATTCCCGATCACGTGGACGCAGCATTTGCCCTCCCGTCCTCAGGTCATCATGGACGAGAGAGAGTCTATTTTTTCAAAGGTGGGGCCAAATATTCCTGAAATCTAGATATTTGGTTATTGAACACATGATACTGTTGAAAATCAAACATAACATACATGTCAAAAGTCCTTAAAATGTTTGTGGCCTCTTGTTGGCTTCTCCAGGGGATCAGTATTACATGTATGAGTTTTTGCACCAGCCGTCTCATGAGGAGTGCATCACTATGTCTGAGAGGTCTCCGTCCACGCTGTTCAGAAGCTACACTGACGTATACTACAACGCCTATGAAAGTTTCTTCAGCGAGCTTTTCTCTGACTGTGAGTTGTGAATCACTCATGTGTGTTTGGATTTGAGGCACATGTCATGTTCACAGCTTTATGTTTTTCCAACCTTCTTTAGTGCCTGAGCATCATAGCAATCACCACTTCATTGACAAAGACTGGAAGGGCCTCAAGTCTCCGGTGGATGCTGCCATGGCAGGAAGGATCTATGTGACTCCCTGGAGGTCATCACGCCGTGACGGCTATGGCCAGGACCAGCAGTGGGATCAGCAGTACAGACGACAGTGGGATCAGCAGAACAGACAACAGTGGGATCAGCAGAACAGACAACAGTGGGATCAGCAGAACAGACAACAGTGGGATCAGCAGTACAGACGACAGTGGGGTCGCAGGAGGCAAAACCGTTCACCCGGCTGGGGCTCCATGGGTGAGCAGGGCATGAACATGGGTCAGGACTTGGCTACCAGGGGGATGGAAATGGGTCTGAAGTTGGCAGAGAAGAGGATGGAAATGGAGGAGCGGCTTGGACGAGGCTGGGACATAGAGTGGGGACAGGAAGGGGACCGATACCCGCAGAACAACAGACGCAATTATGACTCCAGAAACGACAGGTGGCACTTGGAGAGAGCGAGGAGATTGCCCATTCAGAGCGTCTACTTCTTTAAAGGAGGTAAGTCATCAGAGGAAAGTGTCATTAGCAGAGAAATCCAGGTTGGGAATAATCAGACAGAACAGTTAAATATTTATTCACTTAACCTTTAGACTCATTACCACGGTGGATGTCTACAATCCATAAGAAAACAATTAGGCCTTCTGCTCATGATTATAACCATTATTGGTTAACTAACTGCTGAAATTTCAAAATGTCAGTTAATCGAGTGCCCAACCGTTCACCTGGTTGAACGAGTACCCTGTGTTCAGAGACTTGAGTTGTCCCGCAGCAGCCACATGTTCAGTTCCGACCCTCAGTTGCATGTCTTCCCTGTTCTTGCCCACCTTCACACTTAAGTGTCCAAAACAGAGATATTTAATTTATCAGTGACATAAAACTGAGGGAACCAACTAAACGTACTGATAACTATTTGTTTTTGCGTGTGGTTTCATAAGGGGACTGTTGGGCCTTGGCAGAGCATCTGAGTGCCATTCTAATTGTTTAATAAATTACTTTCGTTTATACTGACAGAATATGATAAGCTGTCCACAACATGTCCCATGAGTTTTTGCTACTGGCGTGTAATTAAAGCCTCATGGGATCTGTAATCAAATCAAATCCAATTTTACTTTATCAGTTGAATGAGGATATTAATTTGGTCAAAGTTGCACAGAAACCATGTGAAGAAAGATAATAAAGCAAAAGCTGTATGTTGTCATATCATCACCCTACCTCCACACCAATGAAATCAGAATCCCTCTTTCTGAGTCACACACACAATCCCCCATGCATAAGTAGCTTTGACCAAAAATCAGAGATAAAAGGTGAAATAATGTAAACGGTACGTGGTCAATGTGGTCAAAAAATAACCTCTGCGTTATCTCTGTGTATGTTCAAAGTGCAAGGTGATCGAAACAGTAGAAGGTTCCCATGTAACCCCAAGAACCTTATTTCAGCTTTGTTGAGTTAGAGCCACAGACGTCAGCTGACAGACAAGAGAGGAACTCAGTAATTTCATCAAACTTTGAACCAGAAACTTGGCTCTGTCTCACCACGCCAGAGTTATTATAACTGGTTTCACATGCTGTGTATTAGTCCACATGACAAAGAAACAGATGCTTAAAATAACTTGAGTTTCCCTTTTACTCTCTGTTTTTGGGAATTGCTACTTCAACTTAACATGAAACAACCAGTGTTTCGATAAATGCTGATAGTGATGTCTTTATGAATATTAACTGAGTTTTGGATTCACAATGGGGACATGTCCAGTACAACTATTAGCAGCACTTAGACAGAAAAATTACAAAATTCATACTTTAACTCTTCAAACAAATTATGGATCCAGATGGAATTAATGATTGTCTTGTTTTGTGTGTTTTCTATAGATAAATACTACAGAGTGGACCTCAGCACCAAGAGAGTCGACCCTGCCGTTCCTCCATATCCCAGATCCATCGCCCAGTACTGGCTCGGCTGCTCAAAAACCAGCGGATCAGAGAAGTAGTGGTCCCAAATGTCTATATTGATATTTTTGTGTACAACAGGATCCAGATGGGCTGTGTTCACTGTGATATCTGTGTCAAACATGTTCAGTGTAACAAATAACTAGCTGCTCATTAACTTTAGAAAATATTGATCTGTGAAAGTCCTTGTTGTGGCCAAAGTTCAGCAGGCAGGTTTTCTGAACTCTGCAGGTCATCGGTTTACCTACTTTATCGAACACAACCGTTCTGATTAAAGAAAACCTATGTTTATTTGCAACAGTTAACAGGTTTAACATTTTATACATTCACAGCTTTTCATTTAAGTCTCCAGTGTCGTCATAGTTGAGGAGTGTGTTACAATACATCCATTCAAATACTCACACAGACACAGAATCACTTATGTTTTCTGAATCATGTATCTCAAATGTCAAAATGTTTATACTCTCATTATTAATTGTCAAGAAATATACAGTGATAGACATTTAAAACATTAATGGCAGGGAAGGAGGTGTCATAAATTTGATTAAGAGAAAAGAAAAACTCCTAAATTGTGTTTTAGAGGTCAGAATGCAGCTGAGTTCATGCTCAAGGACACAAATCATATTTACAACCACAGTTTTCTAACATAACTGATAAGCTTCAAAGAGTGAAATTGAACACAATAATGCACTGACAGAATGAACTAGGTAAATGTTGGTGGTTTTTGACTGACGTCTACAGGACATTCTGTTTACAGAGTCACGTTTGTTTGCATATTTACAGTCTGTTCTTAATTGTGTTTCAATAAAACAAGCAAATCTTATTCATTGTGTTCGCTTCAAAATTGCAACACATAATTCATTATACTGTGATCACATACATTTCTCCAGAATAGAAAAAGTGTTGCTTATATAAGCGTATGAATATGAGTTTATATAAGACTAGAAAAGCTCTCTATAAATACAACACATTTGTTCTTGTCCTTCTGTTACAATCCAGGAAGTAGGTGCTTGACATTCTCTCTCTAGGCTTAATGGTTTTCTCTTCTGGCAAAGGCCCAGATTTAACAGTACTTGTCCGTATTCACTTAACACAACACGGGTGCAAATTAAATAAAATATCATTCATTTGGTTTCCATATGACAATGGAGGTTGTGAATGCAACAAGTGGTTTTCTTAAAATTATCCAAGTTCCACACCTGAAACTCTTTAGTATTTGTGCTCTACCCTAACTATATATTTGTTAATGTTTATTCTATAGTCTCAATGCAAATGCTCGCCGCATGAATATCCTGATGTAAGCTGCACTTTTACATTACTGTTAAACATGATAACACCTTCATTCAAGAATCCATGGTCTGCTAACTGAAATTTACAGTAGTAAAAATAAATATACATCCGTTAGAATCAGTCCTGCTGATGCCGTGGTTAGTCAGAGGTCACAAGTGGTTAATCATGACATTTTCATAGCAAGGTTCATCATTCACACTGACCACTGCTCCTTCGTTGGTGATGACCTCTGTGAGACTCGCAGCGTCTCCTGACGGTCCTACAGTCAGGTAGTTGCTCTCGGTCTTTCCTGAACTGGAGCCCTCATCCTCAGCCCTCAGAACTGGCCCCGGGTCGCATGCAGCCAGCTCTGGCACGCTTTTCAAAATGGAGGACAGCGGTCGTTTGGGGGTGCCACTCTCTGATTGGGAAACATCACTACGGGCCACACTGTCAGAGGAGTTGTGGGAAGCATGCTTCCGTCTTATAGGTTTACAAATGGCGACCTCCCCTCCAGGTGGCTCTCCCCGCTCCCACACACTCGCCCTATCTCCAAGCTTCCGTCTGGGTGGTTTGGTGATCCCCTCGACTCCCTTGGATTTGGACTTGCCAGACTCCTGCTCTCTTTGTCTCTGAAGGCTGCCGAGTCTTCGCAGCATGGCTTGAACGGGGCCTTCCGAGCTTGTCTCTGAGACGGGTCTCCCTGCTTTACCCACTGTCACATACACTGTGGTGACTTTATTTAAAACCCCGGCCTGAGCATCACAGCCAGATGTTTGCGGCAGGTTCCCTTTATGTGCAGCTGTGTTGGACATGGTCCGTCTTCTTCCTGCTGAGCTTGGGACCTGTGAGGTGGCTCGGGATGGGGTTTTGTCTACTTCCTGGTCCCATGCCTCACAGCTTGACTCCTGGTTGTCTGTAGCCTGCTCATCCACTTCCTCTTCCTTGTCCTCACCCTCTGCTGCATCCTCATCCCCAGGTCTAGCAGCACCTCCCTGACTTTGAAGGGCAGAGAGCATCAAAACCCCCCAGGTGGATTTGGGTTTGTTGCGAGGGAGAGCGCCAGGGTCTTGAGCGGAGCCACGCCGCTCCTTGGGGCTGAAGCGGGTGCCCTCTGCGAAAGAGACAGATGGCCGCTTTGACTTGGCGATGCTGGAGGTGCGAGGGATGTTGAAGGGTGAGGTGATGTCCTCGCTGCTGAAGCCTGATGGGTCCAGGAACATGTTACACTTTGAGCTCATCTCATGGAACTCGCCGCCTGCCACGGCTGGGATGTCTGTCAAAGAGACGTCCAGAATGGAGGAGATAAATGGGAAGTACATCAGTTCTTCTTCTTCTCGCCAACAAAAGAGGGCAAGTAAAGTTTAGTTAAGAGTATCCCTGCTCCTACCTTCTCTTGGAGGCACACAGTAGAGAGCTTCACCCTCCTCCTCATCACTGTCAAAGGACGACCCCTCCGTCACCCAGCCAGAGGATGGAGGCTCAATGAAGCTGTGGTTGAAGGTCAGCTCTGGGTCATGGTGAGATACTGTGTGTGGCATGAAAATAGATTAAATAATATAGAGGGTAATGTTAGTCGAATCCATACAGGGCTTATCTAAATGGGGCTTTACCTGTGAGATTTAATACAGCAGGACTTTTTGGCCAAGCTCCCAAGTTTAGACAGTTATATTTTCAGCATGGGCTCAAATACTAAATTCTTCCTACATATGTTTCACAAATGTTGATAATAACACAGCGGTGGGGACATTTTTTTTATTAAATCCAGACACATTTAAAAATATCGATTTTAAGAAATTTCTAAGAAGCATAACTCAGGAATTACTGTTTGTATTTTAGTCTCAGGAGCAAAGTGGGGAGGTCTGACACATTTTCAACAACTGAGGACTGTGACCATTAAAAAAGAGGTGAGCTAATGATAAACAGTTGAGTAACTGGTTTAGCAAATTAAACTTTCATATTTTACGTCACTCTACCCTTCAGCAACTTATGTATTAATAACAACATGAGTTCATAATTCATGAATTGTCCTGTGCTATGCTGTCCTTCTGAACATGTACAGCTTTGAATGAAGGTGTATTACTGACCGGTGACACGAGGCAGACCAGAGGACCAGCTAGAGATACATGGCAGAGCAGCACTGATGTTTGCCAGGACGCTGTAGACATGATATTTCATCCGAACAGACAAACCCCCTTCAGCCACAGCCGCCCTAGGAGAAAAGTTTATAAAGTGCAAGTTTCACACTATAGCACAGTGCCACAGCTAAATTTGTGTTGATTGTAAAAATACAGTAAAAATGTTTTTTTACTTTTGTACATTTCAGAAAAAACAAAGCTTCTGCTGTCACTGAACATCTGTACAGTAAACCTGCATCCTCGGTTATATGTATGTGCTACTCAAGTAGAATCAGCTGTGCTTGGAGTGGAGCATTGTGTAAAGACATCTGTGACGGAATGATTTAAAGAGTGAGTGAGGTACAGACCTGTCTTTGCTGTCAACAGGGCCTCCTCCACAACACAAACAACAGCAGAGCACAGCTAACAGCAACAGGAGCAAAGGGACCAACACTCCTGCTAGTACAGCACTCCTGCCACCTGACACACACAAACACACACACATATACACACACACACACAACTCAAAAAACATCCCTTGAGGCTCATAGATGAATTGATGGATGGACAAATGGTCAAATGGACGGGTGGTCAAATGGATGGACGGGTGGTCAAATGGATGAACGGATGGATGGATGGTCAAATGGAGGGATGGATGGGCGTACTGTTGGGGCAGACTCCAGTGACTGGGTGGCAGCGGACCCCCTCAGCACAGTCACACACAGAGGAGCAGTTGAGGCCGAACTGCAGATCAGAGCAGCTGCTGTTACAGCTGGGAACAGCAGAGAATCACACAATTACATATAATCACCACAGCAAACAAACTAAAAACCTGCATACACAACTCAGTAAAAATACTGTGATGACTCATAAACACTGACTTCATAGAGAGGAAAACTAAAGCAACCATTACAGTGGTTCTGCATGTTTTCACCAAGTAACCTGAAATGTTATATGCTTGACAATAACATTACTGCCAACTACTATGTTTAAATTATTTAGATTATACCACTGGTTGGTTTGAAAACTCCCCTCATTCAGGCTTGAGAATAAGAATTGAAGTTCACATTTTGAACAGTCTCCTCTGGGTTTGAGTTCATGCTTCTAACTGTATTACCATGCGACAGTAATGTAACCTACATTAGGTTGCCATACAAATTGAATTATAGTGGCTAATGGGTCAAATCAAGTACGCCTTAATAAGGCTCAAACAGTCTAGACTAGCTAACAAAGGCAACTACAGAAACCTGGAGCTGAGAGATAAATTAAAGTTCAAAATTTGAAAGCGTCTTGTGTGTAACAGATGTACGTGTTGAAAAATCTTGACTTCATGCTTTAAGTTGATTATACTGCTGAACAATCTATGTTTCAACAATGTTAAAGCATCTAAGCTGAGCTAGGTAGCTTAGCTTTTAGTCTTTCGCAGGGCTTGTTTGTGTGTGTGTGTGTGTGTGTGTGTGTGTGTGTGTGTGTGTGTGTGTGTGTGTGTGTGTGTGTGTGTGTGTGTGCATGTTTGAAGTGACACTATAACCCTGTCCAAAGCAAACACTGACGCTTCTCTAACTCTCACCTCTCTCCCTGAAAGCCTGGCTGACAGACACATCTTCCTGTCACGTGATGGCAGTTACCATGGATACAAGGGCTGCACAGGAAGCTGCAGGAGTCTCCGAACGTCCTGTCAGGGCAGGCCTCCTCACACCTAAGCGACAGAGAACAGATAGCAAAGACACTTTAAATAAACGGACTCAACTTTAATAGATATTGTTCCACACTCGCTCTCATTTCATTTTCATGGTCTATAAAAAGTACACATGCTTTCCACTGGCTGCTTTTGAAATGTGAAGATCCATGCAAAGACATAATTATTCTCAACGAAAACAAACAACGATCATAGTGTTGTTTTTACATGTACGAAAGCAAAATAAATACACAAGATAGAAAAGTTCATACTCTTCACGATCCACCTCACAGGAAGTTATTTGAATTGACATTATCAAGTTAATACTTCCATGGGGAGATAATCCAATCCATCAATCACATTTGATCAATAAATAGAAATGCAGTTACCAGAAGCTAGAGGTTGGTTGCTTTTAGCAGGTTCAGCTGCTTGTCAGGAAACTTAAAGTATTTCATAACAACTACATAATAACTATAACATCAGCCTTTCTTGGAAACAGCAATGTAGTTGGTATTTGGGGAATTATTCCAAAGGTTTCCAGGAGATAAGGTGAAAAATACAGGAACTTTACCAGAATCTGTGATTCATTGGTCTGAAACATGAAAAATCCACCAAAAACCTTTAGTGTAACTTAAACACAGTCTGGTCACACATGCTCACATATGCTAAACGTGTGTGCACACCTGGATCCTGTCCATCCGTGGTCACACCTCCAACAATTTCCTGTCTTTGGGTCACATGGTTCGTTGTTCCTGCAACGTGGACACTTCTCCTGGCAGCCGTCACCGTAAAAACCAGACGGGCACGGGCGGTCGCACTGTGTACCGTTCCAGCCGGGTTCACAGGCGGCGCAGGCCCCGTCAGTGGCAGAGCAGAGCTGGTTGTCCTTACAGTAACCACAGCTGAGGACAGACCAGACAGGGTTTACCAGTAAATCCTGCAAGCTCAAGATCATAGAAACACACATATCTAACTTTTACACATACCTCATTTTACACCCACTGCCATACTTTCCAGATTCACAGGGCTGGTTACAGGTGGCACCCTGGTACCCCAGGTGGCACAGGCACTCCCCGTTACTAGGGTCACAGCTGCCGTGTGTGAGGTCACACTTACATCGCCGGTCACAGCTGGGTCCCCACCAGCCTGCCTCACACTCACACACACCAGTTCTCTCATTACACATCGACAGGTAGCAGTTGCAGGTGACGGGACATTTCAGCCCCCAGTGTCCTCTCCGGCACTGACAGCGGCCTGTTAGCTGGTCGCACCCGGGACCCACAGAGCCGTTGCTGACGCACTGGCACGGTTTGGAGCAGGTTTGCGTCCACCAGCCTTCGTCGCAGGTGCAGTTCCCATGGACGGGGTGGCAGTGGCCACGGCGGGTGCATTTGCAGGGGTACTGGCACAGTGGACCCCAGCGGTTTGGGTTGCAGGTGCATTCACCTGTGACGGGGTTACATCGGCCGTGTGGATGGCACCGACACACCTGGCGACAGTCTGACGCCCAGAACTCAGGAGGACAGCCTGATGACAAATAAACAAACAAACAAACAAACAAACAAACATACAATTAAATTAAAATACTGAACATACACACTGGTTATAATACACACTGATACTGTACATACACACTAGTATGTACATATACACTAATACTGTTAATATATGATAAAATTAAAAATACACACAAATACAGCTGCAGATACTTACTAAAACTGTGTAACCACTGTATGAAGTGGGAGAATCTAACATTTACATCATCACATTTACTGCTTAAGGAGACATTTTCCCTCTAGTCTCAAAATTGGTTTCTCTTTTAATGATGTATAGTATAGATGTACTAATACTATTTTTATTTTCATTTAAGTATCAATTCAGCTCAAAACAGTGCTTCCTGCTTGTATGCACATTATTATA